ATTGATGACAGTGGGGATTCAGGTGCCGTAACCCCCACAATAGTTATAGCTGAAGGAAAATGTTAAAAACTTAAAAAAAAAAAAAAAAACCCCAAAGTTGTATTCCCTTTCCCAAAACATTAAAAAAAAAAAAAGACCCAAAATTGTATTCCCTTTCGCAATCCTATTCCACCTTGATCCTGTTGGAATTATGCACGCTAGGTGATAAGGTAAAAACAGAGGTTGAGGGAAGATAATACGGGTATTGATTAAAGAGGTGAAAGTGCGTTGAGTCCGTGATGCTGATAATGTCCGTTGGGTTCTGTATGAAAGCCAGTGACCAAGTGGGAGAGAGGGACTGAAGCCGAAATCACAGGATTTGCCCTTCCCAATTTTACAATTACAGTTATATCCCTACAACGATAACCATCCCAAAATCCAGATTCCACGATTATGAAATGATTCCATCAAAATTCAAACTTCCCCTTCAGCCCGAAAATGTAAAGCAAGAATCCATAGAGAGTTGACACTTTACAAATCTTTCATTTCATTTCATTTCATGTTGGAATTAAATTACATAGATTTCTCATCAATTGAGAGTTACCTTCTAAAGGCCCTAACCTTTTCTCTTCCTCCTTCCTGAACCCAGAATCCATAGAGAGAGGAACTCTCATTCTTCACTCTCGAACATGTTCTTCCACATGGTATTGGAGCGCAACATGCAGCTGCATCCACGCCACTTCGGCCGCAACGTCCGTGAGATTTCATAAAATAGAACTTAGTTTTCTTGATGATAATAAAATTTAGTTAGTTAAATTTAGTTGCAACTAAATCCTAGTTTTCTTGATGATAAATTGGATGGTTTGTTGGTTTTAAGTTTTAACCCCCCCCCCCCTAAAAAAAGAGAAAGAAAAAAAGAGAATAAGTTGGGAATGTGTATTCTGATTTAAATTATAAATAACTGGCCTTTTTCTCTGTTTATATGTGTTCTTAATTTAATTGTTAGACTCTTTTCTTTGTTCATATGCATAATGTATTCTAAATCTATATGTTTCATATCAATGAATAATATAGATGGCAGACATTAATTTGATTCAATTAATAATATAATTCCAATGGCCTACACTAATGTGGAATGAACTCACACTAGAAGAGGATTGTTATCTTAATATTTTATGCCACCTATTTCTGGTGCTGTAGTGTAGCTCATCTCACCTAATGAAATATGTTTGAAGGGGTTGCATTGATCAAAACATTTATATATATCATGAAAAAAAAAAAAAAAGGAAACATGCCGACAACTTCCAAAATTACAATAAAAGAGCAAAGTCACAACATTACTAAAATTTTATTGAGAAAGAATACCGAAGCAGGAAAGCAGACAGAAATCAACATCATTAATAGAAGGCTGTATCGGGGAAGATAGACATACCTTACTACGGGCCAAGCTACCCCACACAGTAGACAACCCAGGATAAACAGGTGGTTGACGACCCCCAAAGTCATCAAAAGCATAATCTACTTAGTTAACAAGAAAGCGATTACGTTCAGCATCATCAACTGACTCCTGCTGCACCCTACAAAAGGATATAAAAATCCTCAGTTACTTTTTTTCTCAAACAAAAAATCAGAGCATACAATCGACAGAAATTCAAAAATAATAATAATAACATGAAAAAAAATGGAATCCCAAAAAATTGGTTACCTGGTAAAATATAAAACAGTAGAAGCATGCTAATAAAAAGTTCTTTAACTACTTAGGATATTCCAGAAGATTAAATTAGAAGTTTGGTTGCTGCACCCTACAAAAGGATATAAAAATCGTCAGTTACTTTTTTTATAAAAAAAAAAAAATCAGAGCATACAATTGACAGAAATTCAAAAATAATAATAATAACATGAAAAAAAAATGGAATCCCAAAAAATTGGTTACCTGGTAAAATATAAAACAGTGAAAGCATGCTAATAAAAAGTTTTTTAATTAATTAGAATATTCCAGAAGATTAAATTAGAAGTTTGGTTGCTAGAAGTAAACTATGAATTGATATTGTGGACATTTATGAATGTGGAGTAGACTAATGATAGGCTGCACATTCATCCAAAAATAATAATAATAATAATAATCTGCACAGTGATGGATGTGGAGTAGACTAGTAAATAGCTAGACAGTGCATTTTGACTATCTAGGCACCTCAGATACATTCAATCTGCTGCAATAGGGGGCAAATGAACCAAAAAAGTGATTTGGTAGCTCATGGATAAACTCTTATCTCTTGCAAGCCACAGATTTCAATATGGAAAACTGCACACCATCCATGAATTTACACTTCTTTTTGACAACAAAACGATAAAAGAACTTGATTGGCAACAAGCTGTGCCTTTAGTCACCAAATGAGACAATCTTTTGATAGGAGCCTCCTCTTCATAGTTTTCAACCTCTTGCTGGTTCCTTTTTCCTTTTTTCTTTTTTTCTTTTTTTAATTAATCTGTTCTTTCTTCTCTTTCATGTTCATAGGAGTATTGGGCTCCTTTAAGATCAAAACAGATTTAAACCCGTAACCTTCATCCCAAAAACAAGGTTATAATACTTAATCTATAACAATTTGGTTAACTTCCAGTTGGTTGCTAGTATCCTTTATCAGATGTATGACCTAGAAAAGGTAATGATCTATTAGTTTATACACATCCACCTAAACATAAATTTAGACCTTATTTGCATTAGTACCGGCTAATTACAAATACTTGACTCAGGGGTCAAGATAAGGGATTGAAATAGCTAAGCATGCTAACTTTCTTAAAGTAGCAAAAATGAAGATGCATAAAATGGTGTAGTATAATATAAACATTAAAACTAAGGTTTAGTAATGAAGATTTTGAATTTCTACACTTTCATCCCAAATTGAATGATCAAACCTGTTTATCCTCCATAAACTCATGTGTCTCTATGTTCTAATCATGATGATGAATGACAAATCCTAGCAAGTTTCAATCAATGCAATAACCAAACAACATACCGAGTCAAGATGTTAACCATGGCTCTGAATCCTGCAACCTGATGTGACAGAGAAAACAATAAATGAGCAGCATGTAATAATCTATCCAATTTAACATGGTGGAACTTAATTATAAAACTCTTCCAGCTTGGAGATTTAGATGAAAGAGGGCATGTACACAAAAGGCACAAGTTTGAGAGATTTAAATCATTGTTAAAACTAAACTGAGAACCTGAAGGGTTTCTCCACCATTTCCTATAAGATGGAGAAGCATGTTCAGAATTGGGTGAAGAAACTGAAGCAAAGCAGTTGAATCCACATTCTTCAAGCTATTAATTGCCTGCAAACCAAAGTAGAGTGCTAATAAGTGCGCCATTTTTTGACTATTGAAGAAATTTATTGTTTGATAACATCAGATTCCATGACACAAATTTCATACTTCTATGTGTTTTATGTTTTTTCCTTTGATTGGCAAAGAGTAATATTTACTAATAAAACTTAAGAGTGAAGCACAATGAATGCCACCACCAATCTCAAAATCTAAGTATTTCAGTGCTGGAAAACTCAAAGCCAATTCAATGACAACCTAATTAACATAAGAACCTTTTCCCCCATTAACCCACATTTTCCAGTCAACAACCTTCTGCTTCCACAAGGTTTTCTAACAGTCTGCAGTGTTGTGAAAAGTTCTAGGCGATGGTGTGGCGTTGAGGCACTGCCTAGTGCCTAGATGCACCCTAGCATTTTCCTTCTTTTTTTTTTTTTTTTTACTTTTTAAAATTCAAAAAATGTCAAAAAATAGAAAAAAAAAAAAGAATAAATACCAAAAAAAACTAAAAAAGAAAAAAAAAAGTTTAAAAGCAAGTATTACCATAAACTCATCTATAGAATTGACAAATTAAGAATTTTTTTTTTTCTTTTTGCTCTATCACCTTGCCTAGGCACTAGGCAGTGGAGCTAAGCAAGCTATTTATTCTATTTTTCAGATTTTCTGTTCTATTTTGGCATTTTTTTGCAAAAAAATTAAAATGCCTAGAGCATTTAGGTGGCGCTCAAGCAGCACCAGTGGTGCAAGGCAGTGGCCCAACATGTAGGCACTGCCTAGCGTCTTTTGCAACACTAAGACACATGAAACCACCGCCACAGCAACCCAGACAAGGCACCAGCCACCACTCTCCCTAGTTGCGCATTTTTTAACACTTGTGAACTCTTCTTACAAACAAAATATGACACCTGAATCCCAAATGCTGCCTTGGTTGCAAGAGAATAGTGCAGACACTAAAGAAATCAAGGACGAAAAGAAGCATAAGCATCAACAACATCAAGTACTGCAATCTATTTGATTTTGGACAGAATCAGGAC